GAAACGCGTGTTTTCCGTGTGTTATTGTTATTGTTAGTGAAGTTGACGGTAACTTTGAAGTTAGTTTGTTCCTGTTCCGTAGTTAAAGTTGTACCAAGTGGAATAAAAGTTGTAAGCTGAAGAAAGAGTTGAATACTCGGCCATCCACGGTACAATATTTTATTTGAAATGTCCTCCAATTCTTTGACCGTTAGATAAATCTTCGTCTCTTAATTTGAGTAGAATTTCCCTGATAAATTTGTTGGCAACAACGCTTTCCGTGAACGCTTCTCACATCGTTTCCTATGCATTCGAGAATACGGTTTTCGAACCATAGTAGAAAGGCGGGGAAGGGAATGATCACATCGGCGATAAGATCGTTCACGTTCTCTCGAGCTCGAGAATTGGGCACCTGGTAGCTTCAGGTAAATTTCTTCTTGAATATCTCCGTATAAAAACGCTGTTTTTACGTCGAATTTTGCAATCTCCAGATCTTGCTTTGCTGCCATCGCCAGGAGGACTCTAATGGACTCGTACCGAACAACCGGAGCAAATGTCTCGAAATAATCGATGCCCTCCCACTGAGAGAATCCTTTTGCCACAAGTCGCGCTCTATATCTGTCGCTGTTATCTAGATCATTTTTTTTAACAGCAAACACCCATTTACAGCCGATTACAGCGGGACAACGCTCCAAGTGTCATTTTCTTGCAGAGTGTCCATTTCTTCTTGCAAAGCTTTTCTCTATTTTTCGGCGTCTACGCTTGACATGGCTTCTCGGTAAGTCAATGGCACAGCGTGTGCTAGATGTGCAACTGGACTTCCGTATCTGTTAATCAGATTAAGTTGCTCTCTGTTGCGCAGTTGCATTCCTTGTTGATTGTCGATGCGCTCATTTTCTTGTTGTTGATCGCCGTTTTGCTCATTATCTCCGACTTCAACAACTTGTTGATCGGGAGCAAAGCACCAACATCATGTTGATGATTATCTTCATTGTCATTCTTTTCTTCCATCCCGAAGTCAAACAAAACTCGATAAGCTGCGTCTTTCTTGTCCAGATTCTTTAGGCTATTTTCAATCAAGTCTACATCGCTACTGATGTAAATTTGGCGCATTTTTGTGTCCCAAAGTCTATAGTTCGACGATTCTCCATCATAGCCTACGACGAGAACCTTTTTGCKTTTATTATCAAATTTTTTTCGTTTTTCCTTCAGCTGATTAAGGTACGCGTCTGTACCGAACACGCGTAAGTGCTTGATTTCTGGTTTCCGATCGAACCATTTTTCAAAGGGCGTCTTTGTTTGATGTTGCATTGCTACACGATTCAACAGATAGCTGGCTGTGCTGCTATCTTCAGGCCAGAGTTCCAAGTTTACATTGCTGCCGATGAGCATACACCGGGCGCTCGCAACAAGAGTGCGAATTTTGCGTTCGGCTCGGCCATTTTGCTCATGGATGTATGGTGATGAAAACTCGTGTATTATACCTTTTCCTTTTGTGTGATTTCGAAATTGTTCGCAGGTATACTCACGGCCATTGTCTGATCGTAGCACTTTTATTTGATTTCCAGTTTGTTTGAATGAAAAACTTTCAAACTCTAAAAAACACTTCCGATTTGTGTCTCAGAAAATACACTTTTCTGAAGCTGGTACACTCATCCTTAAAAACTAAAAAGTATCTTGAGCCTCGCGGAGACTCAGTGTTCCATAAAGTTCCTTTAATTTATCCCATATTGCTTTTGGAGTTCTACGATTCATTACATAGCGATGTAATTTCTTCTCCACAGAACTTAGCAAAATTGTAGCTGTTTGCGAAGATAGAGTTTTCCATTTCGTCCACTCAGCAGCGTTCTTTTTCCTATCGGGCTCTTTGCTGGTACCGTTGATGTAGTCATAACGATTTTTGCCTTCTAGCAAAAATTGCATGCCAAACTTCCATACCTCGTATTTTGTTTCGTTGAGCTTTGTTAAATCAAAAATTTCTCTATCAGCCATGATAAAAAAAACTGCTGCGAGCACTCACACAAACTTTGCAAAACGGCACTTGCAYACGAGACTATCCGACGCGATACTTATACGATCCGAAGCTTAGCCCGAAGTCTTTATTCAAAAAAATACACTGGCGCAGTGGAAGCGTGCTGGGCCCATAACCTGTTAAAGTAAGTAGCAGACACTTAATTAAGTAGCAGTAGTAGTAAGTAGCAGACACTAACCAAATTAATGTATTTATTAAAATTAAACTTAACCCAAACCTTAACATATAAGCAACTGCTAGCTTGCAGGGATCGGATAAGGCTAAACAAAAATAACCGAAGATGCCGCCAGAGCAGGTCAGTGGTTTAACTACCCTGCCTCCGCCCTGTCATTTCTCAGGGTGGTCTAAATACCATACAGGTGGAAAAGAAAGCGGAACAAAATATCTAGAAACTAAATGCCATATTTCTAAATTAACCTAATGGATTTACGCAGAAATCCAACAGTTCTAAAAACTAAAATTATTCCACTTAAAAAAATATGTTAAAAGTAGTGTATAAACGTACGGTGTTTGTTCTTTACGATTTAAAAGTCGGTTGTTCCTCACAAATAATATTGTTCCTCTAAAATGTTTTGTTAATATCTGACCTCGTAGGCGGCAACAAAAATTGAGTTGCCGGCTCGCTTATTAATACTTCAGCAAGCATGTATACCTCGGGATTAAGGTTTTTCTAGTGTTTTATTCCACTTTATAGGAATTTAAAATAATTTAAATTTTGTTAAGATTCGTGTTGATTAATTCATTTCAAAACTTTTTGCTCTGAGTTTGTATGCCTGAAAAAGGCTTCCGTTTAATCGGTTAATGAAAACCAGATGATTTCGTTTGCAAATCGTGTTGGTCAGGGTCTGGATCAGAATTGGAAGAATTGCACGTTTTTAAGAACATCAGTCTAGTCCATAATGACTTTAAATGTGTTTTTCCTCTTTCTACTTGATTGTCGTCTAAAACTATCTTATAGCAAGCGTCCAAAAATATCGCAGAAGGATCATTTCATTATCTACCAGTATAAATTCTCTTTGCTACATTTTTCTGAAGATAACCGCTGCAAAGGAAGGACCAGTTTTCTTTCATGGCAAATTGCTTTCTTGTCAGTAGTCATCAAACGTGTTATAACCAAAAACTACTAATAACTGAAAATTAATTATTTACGAATAATGTCAGAAACATAGTTAAAAACTCAGATAAACAAAAATCCATAAGTTGAAAATGTTGAACAATCTAAATTATTGGATTTACTTATCTAATTAAGTCTATATTTGGACATGTTCTTAACATTTGAATCTAAAGTTACCTTTCATTTTTGTTTTAGAAGAGATACTCTCTAAAAATCCTCAGAAACCCAAATATTCAAATATTTAAAATTGCTTTCAAACATTACCAGCTAAACTGAAATAAAATGTTTCGGTTCGGATTCAGCCCTTAATAGTGTTAATGTAAAATATACGGTTTCGTTCCGGTTTTAGGTCCATATCGGTTCCGGTATGCGCCTCTGATTTAAATAGTTTTGCTTGAAAATACGATACAACCAATATGTTTTTGAAAACTCATTTGTTAATTACCAAAATTGCATTATAAAATGCGTATGAAAAACCAAAACTCAAAACATAACAAAATCCGGTTTAAGCCAAATGATCACCTTGGCCCGATAGTTTTTTTACCTGAAGTGTAATTGAAACTACAGAAAGAAAACAAATCTTCTTGTAATCAGTCATTTTCTAATAAGTTCCCACTCACTTACACATGCCTACTGATTATAAATTACGCTGTGCACCCGAAAAATGTACTTTAACTTTTCACATTCAATACTTTGGATCGGGAAAAACTTTTTGGCCTTTTGACTGTGGAACTATCAATGAGAACCATCTGATTTAGTATGCATTTTTGCCATTAGCTTGATCGACTTTTCAAAAACAAGCTTAATCGACTAGCTTTGCGAACCTTGCTTCCCGATATCATCCAATGTTGAATATTAAATATTGATGCAAAGGCACAAAAAATCGTTTTACGTAGTTGAAAAGTTAGTACAGTTGAAAACAGCATAAAATACCTACTGCCGATGAAGATACCGAAACTTCTCGCACGCATGAATTACGCATTGTCTCGATTTAACTTTGCTCAAAATACTAGTTTCTTGAGACCGCATAGGTAAAAATGACCATGACAAATATTGTTTCAGTTAGTAGCATTAATTGCTAATTCTAGTTCGATAATGCAGATGTAGGTAATAGGACTGAATCCCATCTTGCCACCCTTATACTTTTGCCAAATAAAGACGTCGTCTACACGATTGCATTAAAAATTGTTTGCTTTAAGTCCAATACAATGCCGGTTCGGTATTTTTGGGGTCCAGCTTCCCCCTGTCTTCTTGTATCCCACTCATCCATCACGGAATGTCAGAGCCATTAGTACGCCCGCGTTCTTTTCGAAATCGCTCCTGAAGCCATGCACGTCTGCTATGTTGCCAATTTACTAGTGCAAAAAGTGTATTTTTGTAAAACCAACTGGAAAATGAGCCTTGCTTACTGCGTGATATTGATAAAAATTAATCCTCTGGATCGTATTTTAGTTTTATTTATATTTAAATTTAATGCAAGCGCGGTTTCAAATAAGCGAATTGGCTGCGATTTGATAATTTACCTATAAAAGTGCACAGTGTTATATGGAGTAAATATTACATTCGGTTCAAGAACTTAGAGAATACAACATCACTATAACTGCCTCAATTAGTATTTATTTGATTTTCTATTCTATTTTCGATTAAATTGAAGATTTAAGGGTCGACGTTTTTATTTATGTATTTTTCCGACTGCGTATAATTGTTATTATATTCTTATCTTTCCTGAGTCTCAGTCAAAGTGTGAAGTAAAAATTTTTGAATATCGTTTATTTCATTACGTTTAGGCGAGACAACAGCGCCATCATCAGATTTCAAATTTACACAGACTACAAACACCAATTCATATATTATTATGCTTTATAAATTATAGTTTTTATACAACATGTTTATTGTGAATTGGTGTTTGTAGTTTGTGTAAATTTTAAATCTAATGATGGCACTGTTGTCTCGCCGAAACGTAATGAAATAAACGATATTCGAAATTTTTACTTCGCACTTTGACTGAGACCCAGGAAAGATAAGAATATAATAACTGAGTCCACTGCAAAGTAATGTGACAAAATTGAACGAAAATGTATGCAATCACTATTATTATACAGAACTTTAATAAAACTCTTAAATTTTCTGAAAAAAATGTCACAAAAATTAAAGTACATATTTAGAATTGTGTAGACATAATTTCTTAATGTCACAAAAGGCAGAAAAATACACTTAGATAGTTGAGAATGAATATGAAAGTGTCGAATTAAAGGAAACAATATAAATAAAATACACCCAGCAGTATAAAATATACCAAACAATTCCATTTAAAAGAAAAGGAGATGTCTGCTGGTATATTGAAGAACTGTACATTTAGAATGATAAGCAAATAGCAGATACGTGTTGATGACGATAAAGAAACAGGAGAAATGCCAGAAAGTATGTTCCAGTTAAAGAAGAACAAACCGGTTAAGGCAATCCCCTCTAAAGCCGCTTAAATTGAATTTAAAATCACTATTGTCAATTGTGCAAATTAATAAACCTTCGGAATTATTTAAAAAAAATTATTTGCGCGAACAGGAGTAAATTCCATATTTATGCTATTATTACGCTCCATTCCTCCGTCCATTTTACAAAGCATATGCACTCATGCGATTCTACGGCAACTATTGGATATACAGGGTGGGCCACTAAGAGAGGTGGTCGGCCATATCTCTATATGTGTTCTGTTCTGAGAAGAACCGATTGTTTTATTTAACCCATTATGAGTATTCTTTCAATGAAATGCACCCTTGGGATTCAAGCCTGCTTAGATGCTCAAAATGTTTTCGGTCATTTCTAATGGATTGCTCAAGCCTGTCTTTTGTAGATAAAACAGCACTCTCTACTTCTGCAACAGGAATGTGATGAACTGTGTACTTAATTTTGTTTATTAGGTCCTGTTTGGAAGTTGGTGTAGTTTGAAAATGAATCTCTTTTACTCTCGCCCACAAGTAAAAGTCCATACACTAAGATCGGGTGACCTAGCTGGCTACGGGAATAAACTGTCTCGTCCTATAAATCTATCACGATAAGCGTTGTCTAAAAATCGACGGACATTTACCGAGAAATGAGTTGGACACCCATCTTGTTGAAGAAACATGTTTACTCGTTTTCGCACCGGTATGTGTACCAATAGTAATG